CTAGACCCTATCCACTCTTTCGCCTCACTGTTACTGTTGACATTGCATTTTGTTCAGACGTTTTGACAATTAAAAATAATCATATCACAATAGGGATTTGCTAGTGAAGGGAATTCTGATAGTTAGGGTTCGTTGGGATCGTTGCTGTACTGAGTAATTTGGTTTCAAACATTTTGTCACCAAACGAGGTGACATCGCCAGTCTGCAGTGAATTAGCCGCGAGTCGTAATGCAACAAGGCCCTGTGGAGTGGGCGTTTCGAGATTCATCTGGTCATGTCATCTATTATCTTAAGATCTATACAGGCAGACCTCTGAAAACGACGGGTCGTGCCTTCTCCTGTCATACATACTTGGGTCTGTCAAGGTAGCCGTGGTGACGGCTGTGAGAGCCGTTTAAAGAAACATCCCACTGGTCAGATGAATGTCTGGTTCAGTCATGGTGGTACAGTGCGATATGTGAACCGATTCATTGGCCATGTTATCACTGTAAAGTCCAAGTGCATTTTTTAAAGAAGTTTGAATTTTAGGCACAAGTGCCTTTTCAGATCCGAGAGGCAACAGTCTTAAACTCGCGAAATTTCCCTAAAATCTGTTTTTTATTAGTTGACCTGCAACAACATTGATATTATTAAAGTTTGCGTACAGGTTGTAAGAGTGATCCAGACTTTCTAAAACTAACCGGCTCAGCTATGCATAGAGAAACGATTTTTCGGCTTGGAACTTCAACCAGGTATGTGTAAGCCGATAGGCCGTAGCCAAATAGTCAGAATCATCCAGGACCTTTCCGTCCGACCGGTGCTGAACTAGCTGGCTACTTCTGTTTCGGTTCTGAACCGCCCATCGAACCATCGACACTGCACATCGACACTACCACATGTTGCGACTCTGCTTACCCGAGCTGAACCCATTAACAGGCTCTGTCATGGTTTGCCTTGACGGTTTCAATAGAATGTTCAGGACCAGTACTTGTGATACAAGCGGGGAAACCTGGTGTTTCCAAGGTTTTGTGAAGTGCAAACAACACAACCTGGAGCGGTAGCAAAATACTAGCGCTGTATTGGTACGACAAGCAAAAACACTGCCAGTGGAATTCTACATCGTTACCCGAGTCGAAGACATATTTCACGGACATAACCATCAATGCACGTCTCTCGCGGACCCGGTGACTGTACTGTGGTTGACCGTTTCAGACTTCCTATAGATCTTTTACTCAAGCTCTTCCCTGTTGCCGGCCGCGAAATGTATATAAAAAGGAAATGTGTCGTCCTAAATGGAAGTATCTAGGTGAAACAGCCTCTGATGAAAGCGATCCCGGATTTGTGGACCACGATGTAGGTTTGTCAAAAGGTGTTCATTGGGTTCAGTAGAAAACATGGTATAGGGAAAACACTCCGTTAACCATGCTTATATCAGACCCACATCAAGTGTACAGGACCATGCTTTCTCATACATCCACTAACAATGACAGAATGGTGCGGTTTTTTATCAGAAGGCTCTCAAGTGCATCACTAAATAAGAAGAGAATGACGTTGGACCAATGAAAAATACACGGGTGCAACAAAATTGTAGAACCAGCTCAGTCTTGTCGGAGTAGCGTCCAATGATCCATCGGTCAGGTCAGTTTGAAACCCATAAAGAACACTTTAAGTTGCCTTAGATTTGAGGACACAGGACATTTTAGCCAGCGATTTCTTATGCCCATTCTACAGAAACCATCGGTTTAGTTTCAAAATTACAGGCCTTTTAAACTTGTACACTCTGTGTGACCGATGCTTTCTAAGTCTGGATATGATCTCCACCGTTGGTCAGTGAGTTAGACGGTTCAATAGCTTCTTTTGACGGAATAGAAGCAGTCACTTGGCGAGTTCAAAAGTTTGAATCGCCGCCCTGATGAAATATCTGGTCTTTTTGTTCACACCCGAGGGAGGTAGTAATACCTGACCAGGTACTCACATTTGATTATCCAATTACTAAATATTACATGTGGTACCTGCACCAGTCATTACTTATTCACCACTTTTGTAGCCTGCGACCAAAACCAGAAACCTTTGGTGACGGTAGAATTGTGTAGGAATGTGACGCTTTCTTGATTTGGATCCGTTTGCGAAAGCCTTTCTCTGAACAATGGATGATGGCGTAGCTTCTCTGTTGATGATGTGTGACACAATTGATTTCAGTACATGCGATAATGAACATGAGCCAACTTCCTTATTTTGGTGCCCTCTTAATGATTTCATCCTATATCACTTATCTAAGCCCGAATGGCCTCGCTGGAATCAAGTCTTGTTTCCACTGCTATCAATGCCCACGACCCTGTAACGCACATCTAGACAGTCATAATTATCGACCGTCGGACAAAGATGTTTTTTCGTAATATCTTCCAAAGACCCGCTCAGAACATGCTTCGGTAGTAATATTCTGAAGAACTGCATATCAGTGGACAGGGACTTATGCAAAGCTTTTGAAAAGTCAATTTGTTTTTCTGCGAATTCTCAGCATTAAAGTAGTATATCTGAGGTGTATTCCCCACGTGGATAGAAAACCCACATGTATTTTGCGGTAGGGCTACGATTTCTCGCCCCTTGGGGACTATACTGATAGTTTACCAGTGTGTTATTGTTGATCATGAAGTTTGCCAGTTTCCTCAAACTTGTCTTCAAGATAAGCCAAAAGATTTCAGTACTAAATCAAACTCGAGCCGGGATGATGAATACCGTCTATTCTGCTGTCAAATTTCCGCAACCGAAAGTGAAATTTATGAAAATATGCAGCAGGTCCCATTGGATTGTCGAATTTATGATGTTTTGATGTAAAGAAAATAAGTAGAAATGCATTAGTTCCGACATACTAGTGTTTTGGGTATATCTACTCATATCAAAGTAGGCTACACCATGGTATTGGTCGTTTTCTTGACAGAAAACTCAACTCATAAGGTTTCTGAAAATCCTCTGACAGCCCACTTCGTTCTTCTTAGTATTCAAAGGTGGGCGCAGAGTCCAACTTCCCATTAACCTTATGTTCCGCTTGTAAATCTAATAGCGTGCAACAGGTGAAATGCGCTCATTGGCCGGGAGACTCACCGGAATCTCTCGTTATGGTGTTCTCCATAAACAGGAGGTTCTGCCGGGATTCAGTCGAGCCCCCCTATTAATACCGCAATAATTTGCAACTGAGCGTGCATCGCCTATGGTATTGGTTATGCATTTTTCTGAAGGACTGTGCTTGTAGATGCCTAAATTGTGTTGTCTTTCTAATGGAAAGGAGTGTGTCCACCAGGCCGGACACATCAAACGGACATGGATGATTTGGCTCATTAGAAGTGCTTCCATAAGTGACATTTGCATCGTGGTTCGGGTATAGATAGAGTGTATAGAGCTAGAGTGTTTAGCCCACTGAAAATGTTCCGGATCACTAAATTCTGTGTATTTAGAAGTTGTCCTCCCCACAGTGTCTGACACAAGTGCCTTCACATATACCTCAACACAAAAGTAAACTTTTCGTAGGGGCTGTTTATTGAATCAGTCGAAATCCATCAAGTCTACGCGCAAATCCCTGCTTGGACGTGCAGTGTAGTCTCAAGTAAATAGCAATAGTCAACGTTACGTGAGAAAAAATATATATAAAGCAATAGAGGGGCACGACGTTTGGAAAGCGTTTGATCTATTTGACTTTTAGGCACTTGCCAGTGTAATTCCAAAATGGATGCCACCCGTCTCCAGACGGCCAAAACCAGTCATGGATTCAAAGTTCAGTGTAGTCGTGTGGTTTTTCTGAGTATTTCTTTCGACTTTTCATCTACTTTGCAACCCATGGAAGTTAAACTTCTTTGTGTAGATGCATTTATGTGTGCTACTCTACCTGCAGAATTTGAGTAACATGAAATATAGACTATGCAAGGGTTTGGTGGGAATGATTGTAGCTTACTTCATTTAAATGAAGACTGGTATGTTCATGGACCTTGAAAATTTTGCTACGAATCACTCCTTAACAATCGAGTTGGTGCGTCCATAGGTAGATGGATTTACGTAAACTACACACCGCTACACCATTACTCTGATTGGTAAAACAGTCCGCAAAATATTGCCAGGGAATACTTGCAGGCCTTTGTCCCTAAGCGTTCCCCACTTCGTGATAGTTCAGCGGCTATTGAGAAGTCAGCCAGTTCAAGGAGCAGCCTATCCCCAGACATGACAGTCAGAACTACCAATGTTTGAGGAAACCGGAAAAGCGAATCCGAATCCGAATCTATGGTTCTTTTGTTATTCTTTATCAATATCCCGCCATTCACAGATCGGGCTAAGTCGTATGCCAGATGGCAATTATTTATCCGGTGCGTGCTATGCTTTGGATGTGTCTTAACCAACCAGGCACGTCTTGTAAACATGAATAGTTCGAGTACGGACGGTTCACTCGCACAATCAGTGGTATGGGGAACATATCCACTTCCAAGCACGTTAGGACCCCTATCGTGGGAAACGGAAAAAGCTGTTGATCACTGACCAAGCGATTCTTCGTTTGCTTGATCCATTCGTCGATTTCTCGCGGACGTCAAAAAGTTCCATAGTCACAAGAAATAGCACCAGCGAAATCCGTACACAAACGGAAGGTAGTAAGATTTCATGCTCAAAAAGACCTGTTCCCACAGCAATGGTGAGGTTTCTCTTAACATCCATAGTGCCCAACAAGGTCTAATACCTGTTGTGCAGTGCACAGAAATTGATGATCGATCTAATCAACATGAGGCAGAGGTCGACATCGATAGGTAAGGTTCTTTGGTGTAATAGACTTTGTCCCTGGCATGCAGTCAGCAGAGGAATTCTAGTGCTCACAAGCCACAGAATGGATTGACTCTTCGTCTTGTGCAGACATTCACCTAGAATGTGTAAAATCCGTAAGTTGTTTCGGGATTTAGATACGCCAAAACCACACACAACGGAAAAAAAGGAAAAAGAGGGGCCAGCGCCGATGATGCCGTTCTGGCGACCACTGACAGACTCACCCGAGTGCAAGAAGCACAATCCTTGGGTTATGCTCATTGCCAGACGCATAACAATTGTGAGCATCAATTCATCAGTTGCGGTCAAAAGTGGCCCAGATCGACTTCCGTCCCTTCGAACGAGTCGGTACACTCGTTGCACACTTTCAGACGCATCATTTTCTTCACTACTGTGATCGGTGGAATAGGAAATCCAATGATTCTGGTTCATCAAATCCTTTAGTGTGCCCCAGTGGTGTAGTTCTCCTATAAGCATGGCGCATAAAGTGGGGGTTTTGAAAATCGATTGCACAGCTGCGGCCTCCAAAGCAGCCTTATGGGAGTCCTGTGGGTAGCAAACCCAGTCTGCCGCAATCAATCCTTGAACGCTCTGATGCCTCAACAGCATGGAGCGGTACGCATTTGTGGTTCGACGCCAAACACTTTGTGCTAAGCGATCGCTGGAATGGAACACTTTCGCCAAAATTGGCTCGCCACGCCAAGTACCTGGAACAATAAATGCAAATACAAGCCGTCTTAGTTACAGTCACTATACAAATAAGCTATGCAATATTACGCGAGGACCCTGTTTTGTCGAACAAAACTACATAAGTTTGACACCAACACATAAAACGTGTTCATGTAACATGAACAAAACTTCATGTTAGCGACGAACTTCATCTCCTGAAAATTCCCTAAAGACATACAATCGAAGAAAGTACGAAAAATGACGGACAAAACATTTATGTGGTCAGCTTCATGCATGATATCAGTTGGGTCGCTAAGTGTTGTAAGGCTATCAATAAAAGTCATTGAGATCAGAATTTTTTTCGAGAAAGGTCCCGATATGCACTGTTTTATCTGGATATGTGTTTCCACTGGACGCTGAAAAATTAGCAACAGCCTAATTCTTGTTAAGGCTTACAAGGCAGATCATGGCGACTCAAAAACCAGCACGATCATATCACTGGCAGTGATTGAAATATGGCTTTTGACATTAATACAAGAACGTCAAAGACGATGTTTAAGCACCTGTGCCTTTTTAGACATGAATGTTAGCCTTTGTAAACTTGTTGACTTTACCTGGTTTCTGTGGGCTGTCCGAATTTTAATAATGGTCCTTAGTTACTTGACTTTTAAAAACACTATTATCTTGAAATTCTGTGCGATAACTGAGCGGAAAAGATGATGGGATGTAAATATCCCCTAATCATCGGTGGACGAAACTGTGGCAGCTACAACCACTGTACGACAAGTACGCTGACAATGATGATGTTGGTGAAATACCAGGGAGATTTCGTTTAGACATCAAAGCGCATCAGAATTACGTTCAAATCATACAATGACCGAGACACAACCTGATGCACCGTAGCGAATTGGCCGAGACAAGACAGGTCTTCGACCACGTGATCAGGATTGCCTTAGTTGGTTGCTACCGTTTTGTTTCTGAAGCCTCCATCAACCCCTGCATCCTAAACGCCATTCTCTTCTGTAGCACACCCAAAACGCTATCCATTTTCATTGATCCCGAAATGCATGTAGGCAATCTTTTTGTCACAAACTTAGGCTCTTCAGATTCAGGGCTGAATCAGCAGCTCGAGGCTTTCCATGGGTGTAGGTAATATTGAGTAATGTGTTGACCTGTATGTGGAGTATGAGCACGACAGTTAAATGGAAGGTATAACCACCCCGCCGTCAACTCTGATGACTAGGAAAGAGTGCATTGGAACGTACTTGAGCTAATAAATCACTGTACAGTCTGGTCTGGATGTCATAATTCAATATAAGATATCCACCTGCCCGCAAGCTAGTATTTTTAATATTCAAACAGTTCAAGTATCCCCGGAGAATTGCTGTCCAAATCAGACGCAAAAAGAGAGCCAGATGAGTTAAAATCAAGCCCAAAACGAAACAGCGGTTACGCATTTATGGTGAATCAGAAGAGCAAGCCGTTTGAATTGTTTCGGCCCGCGGGCATTTTTCAAAGCCTACTCTCATTAACATTTACAGTCGTGAGCGACTTCAGGAATCGGCGCGGAGCATTATCTAATGCATTCAGTATATTTTATGTGCGGTGGCTTTAAAAAGTTATTTAATGGTTTTGTTTTGATTTACACGAAAACTAAGGCAAACCAAGAATGGTTTGACTCATTTCTGCACTCTTTATACCGCAGATGTTTAACCCTGTATTCAATTCAAGACCCTACACCCACAGTGTACATCAGTAGCAGTACTCTTATGAGTTATGGGTCGGTAAATAGGGATATGTGAAGCTTCATAGAATAGTTTAAAAGGCTACCCTATAATCGCTGCAAATTTTTCATACTAGGACAGATTCTGGTAGCCACTTACACATAGCATATTTTTCTAGGGGGCTGGCTATAAAGTTCGAGACCGATATCATAGAATTCGCATTTAAGGTAGGAATGAAAAAGTCGGCAACGACTAACAAAGTTTATTTCTTCCTGCACGGCCGTTGCATCTAGAAGTAACCTGAAAACCCAGGAAATCCGATGCCGGAATCAGAGGCTTATCCTTCTACCATATGTACGGTTGACTAGACACGAGCTTATTGTTCACTCTGGATAGAATAAACTATTTCAAGACAACTTGTCACCTGGAATCGCGCCTCTCCGCTCTATCAAAACCAGGCCACATACAAGCCTAGCTCTGTATGTCGCCATAATCCTTTCTCTGGTACATCACTCTACTGTCCATATCACGTTATCTTGAGACAATGCCATCCTCTGACGTCACTGAACCAGACAATCATGTGATCAGTGCGACGTTGTTTTTCAGATAGCGATGGCAGCTCGGTCACGGAGGTGGTTCGTGGTCAGCAAAACTGGATGAATGTCAAACCGACGTAGCAAACTGTTTGTTGCTTTACCCAAACATAAGTAAAACATGTAAATTAATAAATATTAGCCATATGGTAGCAACGTTTTAGTGCTAATGAAATATTTTCTTTGATGAGGGCATCTAATTACTCAGTCGCCAGATAGCTAAAACTGACCGACAAACATGGCTTTCTTGCCAATGTTGCAAACTTACGTCCATCGATATATTTTATTCTAGATGTAATACACTACTCATAAGGTTGCTGAGAGCTCTTCGACAGCCCACGACAGGTTTGGGTCTTTTTTTGGGCTCGTCGGAGAATACAACTGGCAGAGAGAATCCAACAGAGAATTTCTGGCTGGCATCTCTTTAGGCAAATGTGTATCCAAAAGCGCATCAGTGCATACATTTGCATTACAGTATCCTACTACGAGAACGCACACCTTAGCTGTGCGGGTGAACAAAAAATGTAGCCCTTGTCTTCATGAAAAGACAGCTTGAAATCACATGCCTTTAACTCGAGCTCACGACACAGTCAATCGCTTCGGTCAGAACACAAAAACACCGAAGCCTTCTTTTTCCTGAATTGTGAGTTTCATATACTTGCATCTTTGCAAATTCGAGCTTTAACTGTTCTATGCATGCGAGGCAACTAGTCCTCTGGCATGCAGAGCACAGAGTAACCTATGAATCGTGAGTAAATCGTTCATCGAGGGAAAGTTTTTCCTCCTAAAACTGTCTGGCGTATCTCAGACGTCCTAGTCCGATGTTCCCATTAAACCCGACCAATGCTTCGGAGACGCCGCTGGTCAAACTTTGATAGCTTTTGTACGTCCTCTTCCCGTAGAGGTCACGTCTCTGATCTATAAAGCAGTATTATTCATAATAACTTTGCGATGTGTGATTCGCCGTTGACAGACAAACTGAAGTACCCTCTGTACCATTCGTGTCAAAGTTTGGCAGAAGATCCCCTGGCCTTCCCGACCCGAGGAATAATATCGTCCTCAGCCAGTCCACCGGGTCCTATATAACCGTCCAGGTAAACAAATTTATCTAACACGTCGACTGACTCATCTACAAGCCCAAGGTTTGGGTTTGATCCCACCCACTCTTGTAGCACTTCACACTATGTAGGTAGGAAACCGATACAGAGCCGTGCGGAGGAATCATGTTGATGAGATGAGATGATTTGCACGTTTGAAGGATCTGTGCTAAGGAGCGCACTATCAGCCACATACTCAATGTCCGTTAGTGAACCTTCCAGCAGCAGTTCGGTCCCCGAATTTTAACACAGAGTCGGCGAAATTTCAAGCAGCATATCGATAACAAAGTTAAAGACGTAGTGATCTCAGGCGAAAGCCTGCTGTATGATCTCACGCACCAACAGGTTTTTGTTTACAGTTCCCTCATAAGGGATATAAATTTGGAACACTTCTGGTCATCAAATATCGCCAAGGTTTCCGACGACCGACAGGGTCAAATGCAGAATTTTGAGAGAGTGATCTTGAGATCGAGAGCTTGTCTCAATGTAAAGAGGTGCCATGCAACCTCGGACACGGCTTAACTCAATGTGATTCTCACCAACCTGTCTCTTTCGATATTTAACCTGGGCAAAATAATACCAGAAGACACCTTGACCCTTAGTTCACATACCTCTGATTGGCTGAAGCACTTTTGATTTATACTACCCGTAGGATGCATGGACTGTTTGTCGAGTACTTGCCAGGCCATGTTTGTTTCCGCATTACGTGTCGGGCTTTTTATCAAGACTGTAATCACTGTTGAAGCACTCCACTTCACTAAAGTCTTGATTTCGTCCCAAATCATCCGCGGTAAGATCGTGAGACTGTTCACCAGCGCTTCACCGTTTTTTTTTGAAAATTGCGGGTCGCACACCATCCGGGCAGGGTGACTTGCCCCGTCGGAGGAAGGACATCACACGCTGGATCTCCTTTGTTAAAGGTGCTGGCATTCCATTCAGGCTTGCTGGGTTCTTCCGAAGGTTTGCATCAAAGGAGGCTATCTGAATTGTTTCAAGGGTGTTCAGTCCGTCGCTCAAGATGACGAATTTGCAATCGACTTGTCGCTCCGCCTTCCTCGCTAATAAATGTTTTCTTTCGACCGGCTTATCGAGTCATCTGAAACAGGACGCTGGTGCTGCCTGCATCAAAGACCTTCTCCATCCTCTGGGCCTTCGCAATCCACCAGCCTTCTCACCATTCTTCAGGCTCTCAGTTATTAGGTGTTAGGGAGATTTACCATGAGTTATCATGATCGCTTGTTGATGGGATGAATTTCCTTGCAGCAATAAGACCTACTGACCTCGACGAAATCCACCAAAGAGTAAAATGTGAAAAATATGAGGCCGGCTTCAGGTGCAGGCAGACAGAAAAATGTTCAGCGTCTTCACCAATACAGGACACCTCTCTAGGTGTGTATTTTGAACCATTCTCACAAAGCCTCTTGACTCTGGGTTTATGTTTCTAACGAAAAGTGCGAAATGGGAATATATCTAAAGAAGAAAATTTATCTCAACCACAGACGTATCACAGAGGTCTCAAATGCAGTCTCCTATGAAGAAGCAAATACCCCGAACCAAACAGCCATATCAGATTTCCAAAATAGGTTAGTGAAAAAGTAGAAACATTACATTGGGAGTTCAACTC